CGGTAGTGCGGGCTGGGACTCGCTCCCTCCCAGGAGCTCTTCGCTGGGTTGCCTTTAAGAAAAAAAAGGGGGAAAAACGTGCCACGGGTCCTCCCGGGGAAGCCGAGGACAATGCGCATCCCAACGACGCGTAAGTACCAGGCGGCTCTTCCCAGATGGCTCCCGCGGGCAGGAGGCCATGCAGAAGTTAACTCTGCAGTCCCAGAGAAGGAAACCTGCAGGTTGTCCCCCCAGCCCCCTCCCCAGTCTGTCAGCTATGGGAAAGGTGAGGTTTCGGGGGGTCCTGAGCTGGAGCGGGGCCGTGGAGATGAGGTGGACAGGAGGGGAGGGTGGTGAGAGGGGCTGCAGGTTGCTGGACACTGTGGTCCTTCCCAGCTTCTAGCGTTGTTTTGTAACCAGGTCTAGGCTCAGCTTTTAGCATTCACCTCCTCCTTCCATTCAGTGCAGAAATACCTGTTTGGGGGTTTGTTTCTAAAGGTGGTAACCTCGACCATCTCTTCCTGCCTCTCTGCTCTCCAGACGTGTGGACCAGGCACATTCTGGCAGCACAGATCCTAAGCCTCTTGCAACAGGTACCATCCACATCAAGGCCAGACCCCAAGCAGGTGCCAACACTACAACAGAACTCCAACTATTAGTTGGAGGCCAAGGTTCTTCATCCATTCCCACTTATGGGAGTGCTACCAAACCATCCAGCAAAGTGGCTCCACCACAGGTGGGGCGTTGGTGGCCACCAGTTGTTCTGTCCAACTAGCCAGAATGTGTGACATGGCTTTTGAGCTGGTAGGTGGTACTTGACAAAGTTAGCACAGCACAGACAGACCGTGCCTGCTTGAAGACAAAGTTTCTCCACTGCAGCTGTCTGGGCAGGAGAATGAGTTTGTAGTGAATCAGTGCTTTGTATTACACACCTCAGAGTTTTTTTGGTAGGGCTTTTGGAGCTCTGAAACTGGCTTTACTGTGTTCTTAAACCACTGCCTGAGCAATCAGCTTTGAGGTCTGGACCCCAGACACTTCCCCAAATGCTCTTCAGCCCCAGTAGAAGTGTCCCAATCCATATTTGATGTTTGCAGAGCTCTGTCTCCGGGTTGTTTTGTTTGTGGTTTGTTTTCTTTTTCTTTTTGAACTTCCTTTGCATGCAGAAGGAATATCCAAAGGGATTCCTAACTATGTCCTTTTAGAGGATCATCTTTTTATGAACATACCGTTCCGGTCTCTGCCCCTCTTTGCAGGGATCTTTGTCCCCAGAGCAGCCACTGCCTTCCCCTTTCCTCCAACAAGTGACCTGTGTCACTGGAACAGCACTGGAAAAAAAAAATAAAACATCAATGGAAAGATCCCTGAGCTTAGAAATAGAGTTTCAAATCATTTCCTGCTCTGCTCATTCATTGCAGCCACCCATGACGTGCAGGACAACCCAGTACTGCAGCACCCCAAGAGATGGGCTTCTATCAAGACAGTGTGTCACAGCCCAAGGCATCTCCAAATAAAGAAAGTCTAAACAATTCTGGTCCTTTAAAGCTCATTGAAGTATAGCAGGAAACATTTATGCAATAGTCTGTAGAAAAGGCCTTAAGACATTGTTGCCCAGTTGTGTTTTCGTGGGGCCTATCAGATGAGGTTCTTCACCTCCACATCTGTGGAGTCTGATGAATTTGCTTATTTGCTAGCCAAGAAATCCATCTAGAGCACAGGTCTCCCCTAAGGCTTACAGAAGTTGGGATGGCACCTACAAGAAAGAATAAAAGCTGTACTATTAAGGCATTTGTGAAGAAAATTGTGATGCTACAGAGGATCCCATGTGGGAGAAAAGTCTCTGGGATGTTTCTGGACTTCTGAAAGCAGTTGATAGTGGGAGTCCTTTCCTTTGAGATCCCTAGTTTTCATTTCAATAACAAAGGAGCTTCAGAGCCCCAAGAGTTTGTTGGGATAGGTACAGGTGAGCCTCAAGGTCCATGTTGTCTCCCATCAAGTTATAGTCCCTTCCAAGGAGCTAGTTCATCAAGAGGTTGACCCTGCCAGGCCACACCTCCAGAAAATTTTGCCTGAAAGCATCACAAATCTCCCCTGCATAATGTTTCCCAGGGTGTCTCTGGTCTGGAATATGTGCTGGGCTCTGTACCTCACGTATCTGGAGCCCTGGCAAAAGACAAAAGGTCCATCCTTCCCTTATCTGCCTCTTCTCATCCCGTGTCAGCAGAGTGGGGACTGGAGAGCTTGTTTGCTCAACGTTCTCTCTGAGTGAGAGGAGTGCTGTTTCCATGCCAAACCCTGATGTGACAGGCAATTGGGCAGCTCAGCTGAGGAAGGCTGGGACACTGCTGGGGTGTTGCAAACACCTGGGGCAGGCAGAGCCTCTTCCATTAGCCGTGTGTTGCAGGGTGCAGGAGGAGAGAGAAGAGGAAACAAGAGAGAATGAGACAAGAGAGTTCTGGACTGATCCCTCTTGGTGTACCCAAAATAATCTGCTTTTTCTTTTACTCTCCAGTTGGCATAACACAAACCAGCTGCCCTCCAGCTCAGGTACCGACCTCAGCCTCTCGTTTTGGATTGAGAGTGGAGGTGCTTTTGCTTCTGCTGGTGGGGCTAAAGACCCCAAGATAATCTGGCCAGTCTGAAAGAGCTCCAGCAAGCAGGAAGATACCCAGTGAATGGGGGAGCCAGAGCTGGAATGGCACTTTGTCACTGGATGCTCTGCCCTCCTTTCTCTGTAAGGCACCTGGCACTCATAGAGGAGAATCAGGCCCCTGCTGCTGATGTCCTCAGTACTGAAGCCTTTAGCAGAAAGTGAGAAATCTCCTGTCCCTACCCTAGTCTGTGGTAAATTCCCCAGAGGATCTTCCTCTAGGGGAGAGGACCCATTGACCCACACTGAGCCATGTCCCAGTTTGTCCCTCCATACCCTCTGTGCCTCCTACATCTTCCAGCAGCTGCCAGCATCCACAAACTCACTTTGACTTCCCATGCCTGTCCATGCCTTCCCATGGTTAATGTGGTGGTTTTAACTGTCATGTCCTCAGTATCAATGGCTTTTTTCTTCTCCTCTTACCTCTAGGTTGCTAACTGACCCTGCAAGGACACTGCCCCCCACCCTCTCCCCTGCCTCTGCTATGAACTCTTCTGCTTTCAGCCTCCCCACACCAACAGTGTCGGAGGAAGGGAATGCCTCTGGCAGCTGGGCAAGCCTCACCACCCCCAACAGCTCCACCACCTCCAGCCCCGGTGTGGTTGTCAGCAGCGTCCTCATCCCCTTGGTCTACCTCATTGTCTGCGTGGTGGGGCTGGCTGGGAACTCTCTGGTCATTTACGTGGTCCTGAGGCACTCCGTGAGCGAGTCGGTGACCAACGTCTACATCCTGAACCTGGCCCTGGCTGATGAGCTCTTCATGCTTGGCCTGCCATTCCTGGCTGCCCAAAATGCCCTGTCCTACTGGCCTTTTGGGTCCTTCATGTGCCGCCTGGTGATGGCCGTGGATGCCATCAACCAGTTCACCAGCATCTTCTGCCTGACAGTGATGAGTGTGGATCGCTACCTGGCTGTGGTCCACCCAGGGAAGTCCTCCAAATGGCGGACAGCACGGGTGGCCAAGGCTGTGAGTGCAACTGTGTGGGTGCTGTCTTCCATAGTGGTGCTGCCCGTGGTTGTCTTCTCAGACGTCCCTTTGGGGATGAACACGTGCCACATCCAGTGGCCAGAGCCCGCCTCAGTGTGGAGAGCTGGTTTCATCATCTACACTGCCACCTTGGGCTTCTTTGGGCCCCTGCTGGTGATTTGTCTCTGCTATCTCCTCATCGTGGTGAAGGTTCGTTCCTCTGGCAGGCGGGTGAGGGCTCTGTCCTCCAAGCACAAGCTTTCAGAACGCAGAGTGACCCGCATGGTGGTGGCCGTCGTGGCCGTCTTCGTCCTTTGCTGGCTCCCCTTCTACGTCCTCAACATCATCAACGTCGTCTGCCCGCTGCCAGAGGAGCCATCCCTCTTTGGTGTCTACTTCCTCGTGGTGGTGCTGCCATATGCCAACAGTTGTGCCAACCCTATCATCTATGGCTTTCTCTCCTACCGTTTCAAGCAGGGCTTCCGGAGGGCCATCCTCAGGCCATCCCGCCGAGTCCAGAGCCAGGAGGTGCCAGCGTGCCCTCCGGAGAAGACTGATGAGGAAGAGGAAGAGGGTGAGATAAGCAAGATCACCCAGAATGGGAACGACAGGCAGGAGCACCCTCTAAGCAGTGGGGGAGGAGAAAACAACGAGCAAAAACCACTCCCCGAGGAGCCTGTGGGATGTGAAAAGAGCAACAAGTTGCATGTCAGTTATTTATGATGAAAGGGGTGGTGCGTGGGAAAGAAAGAGTGGGACATGGGATTCCCTTCACCCTCTCTGCTACTCCACCTCAAGGGCAACGGGAGACATTGATAGAAGGGAATATTAAAGTCCATGACCCTGCTTGAATATTAAAAGGTCTGTGTGAACTTGTGGAAGAAGCAAGGCATTATTCTTGGCTCTGGAAGGGCCAGCTGAGGTTTGTGTGGCACCAGGCAAAGGCAGGACTGTGTTCAGGGAGAGCTGGAGAGCTGGTGGACATTGAGAGCGTGGAAGGAGCATGATCCATCCTTAGATGACCCAGCTGTGAAGGGCATCGACGACCATCTGACTGTAGCACCTCAAGGGAGTCCTCCAATGGCACACACAACAAATAAGCACCCCAATGCCTTGATTATCTTCCTTATAAACATGACAAGCAGTTTACCCTGAAAGCAAAACAGGGAGGAAAACTGTCTGCAGAAAACACACACCAGCCAGTTGCATGAATGGCTGACCCTCCTCTAGGTCTCCAATAAGTCTTTGGGACAACTTCCCTGCCCATGATAGTCATGGCTGGAGACCACTCTGACCCCTCAAAGCCTCCTCTGTATTTCCAGGGCTCTCATAGACTCTGGGCAGGCTGATGAGACTTACCTGGGGGACCAAATGGGATGTTTCTTTTCTGCACTTTGCATTCTTCAGGGTTTTCCTGCTGCCTCTGCACCCTGGTGGAAGGTGTAGCAAGGGTAGGGAAGAAGACAACAAGGCATGGGTTGGAGGCAGGGTTTCTCACAAGCT